CTGATTTCTGATCTTTACGATGGTGCAAAAGCGAACCCACACAACCACTGATTTCTGATCTTTACGATGGTGCAAAAGCGAACCCACACAACCACGGATTTCTGAACTTTACGATGGTACGAAAGCGAACTTACACGACCACTCACGTTTGAACTTTATAATGGTGCAAGTATAATCAGAGAGCCACTGCTTCGGACCTTGAGCATGGTGCAGAAGCGAACCCACACAACCACTGATTCGGACCTTGAGCATGGTGCAGAAGCGAACCCACACAACCACGGACTTCTGAACTTTAGAATGGTGAGAGTATAACCATACAGCTGCGGCTTTCTGAGCTGCAGGATGGTGCAAAAGTGAATCCATACAACTACTGGCTTCGGAACTTTACGACGGTGAGAAAGCAAACCCACACAATCACTGATTACTGATCTTTACAATGGTGCAAAAGCGGACCCAATGCAACCAGGGACTTCTGAACTTACAATGGTGCAAAAGCATAACCATATAGCCACTAATTTTTACTTTCAGCGTATTATTCAATAAATTACACGAGACATCCAGCACTTAATCACTGAATAAGCTTTTAGACGATTTTGCCCAATTTAGGCTAACGGGAATAATTCTGAGCACTGTTAAGGTAGATTGGGCTAGGTTCCAATGTTTGGTCGGTCAAGTGTATTAAGCGCTTTTTCGAGTGGTATTTTCAACACGGGATGGGCTTACCAGGCTGTAACCCTCTGTTACCAGGATGTAGCCCTATGTTGAGGTGCATCTGTAATGCACAGGGGTGACACGAAGTGTGCTGGCATGTCTCACAGGGAGTAAAGGGTCGGGACACTGCGGATCCTCGGTGGGCTATGTGCCGTGATCAAGGGCACGTGTTGTTTCCCCGTGTACGGTTTAGCTGGGTTGTTCCCTAGAATGAACCTGAAATGTACTAAAGATGGAATGGCGCTGACAGGCTTCGATGGTGTGCTCAGCCGGCCTAGCTGGTAAAGATGTCAGGACGAACATGTGATCATAAAGAAAAATAACATCTCTGTGGCCCACATTTGCCTCTAGTGTTACTGGTGATGTCGTAAGTGTGCGAATGACAAGGGAGGGCTTTTCTATGTTAAATTAATTGTGACTCTTGCTCATGGTTAGTGAGAAAGAATGAGTGGAGGAGGATAGGCGCTTCGGTGCCGGGAACTGAACTCGGGGCACTGCACCTGCTGGGCAGGCGCTGTACTGCTGAGCTACATCCCTGGCCCCACACTGCTTTCAAAAGGCTTCTAATTCTTATGAACCCTCAGGTGTCCTTTCAGGTGGCTTGCGTGCTTGCAAACCTTCCCGCACTCGTCGCACACGTGCGGCTTCGCAGCGTGCGTCTTCTGGTGCTGAGTGAGCTGGTGGCCGTGGCTGAAGGCTTTCCCGCAGTCCTTGCACGTGTGGGGCTTCTCCCCAGTGTGGATACGCTCGTGTTTCACCAGGCTTGACCCGTAGATGAAGGCTTTCCCGCACTCCTTGCACTTGTAGGGCGTCTCGCCGGTGTGGATACGCTCATGCTGGGTAAGGTGGTAGCCGCAGTTGAAGGCCTTGCCACACTCGGTGCACTTGTACGGCTTCTCCCCGGTGTGGATGCGCTCGTGCTTGACCAGGCTGGAGCCCCAGCGGAAGGCCTTGCCGCACTCCTTGCACTCGTGAGGCTTCTCGCCCGTGTGGATCTTCTGGTGCTGTGTGAGGTAGTTCACGCGGGTGAAAGCCTTCCCGCACTCCTGGCACTCGAAGGGCTTCTCCCCAGTGTGGATCCTCTTGTGCTGGATGAGGCTGGAGCTACAGATGAAGGCCTTGCCGCAGTCCTTGCACTCGTAGGGCTTCTCCCCGCTGTGGATCCTCTTGTGCTGGATGAGCTTGTAGAGGCGGCTGAAGGTCTTGCCACAGTCCTTGCACTCATAGTCCTTCTCACCAGTGTGGAAGCGCAGGTGCTGAGTGAGCTCGTCGCCCCGCCGGAAGGCCTTGCCACAGTCCTTGCACTCGTAGGGCTTCTCTCCGGTGTGGATCCTCCTGTGGATGACCAGGCTGGAGCCCCAGCGGAAGGCCTTGCCGCAGTCCTTGCACTCGTAGGGCTTCTCCCCCGTGTGGATCTTCTGGTGCTGCGTGAGCTGGTTCCCCCAGCGGAAGGCCTTCTTGCACTCCTTGCACTCATAGGGCTTCTCTCCGGTGTGGATCTTCTGGTGCTGGCTCAGCTGGTAGCTGCGGCTGAAAGCCTTCCCGCACTCCGTGCATTCGTAGGCGCTCTCCCGGTAAGACCTGGCCAGCCGGGATGCGGTGCGCTCTCTGGCAGGAAGCTGCTTGCGAGAACCCAACTGGCTGCGGTTCCCCTTTCGGCTGGAGTTCCCCTCCCGGCTGGGGCTCCAGTCTGGGCTGGGGCTGTCCTCTCGGCTGGGGCTGTCCTCTAGGCTAGAGCTCTCCTCTCCACTGGGGCTCCCTTCCAGGCTGGGGCTCTCCCCTCGGCTGAGGTTCCCCTCTGGGCTGGGGCTCTCCTCTCGGCTGGGCTCTCCATTTTGGCTGAGATCCCCCTCTCCAGAGCCTTGGCCTCTTTCAGACTCACTCATCTCATCAGCTGGACAGGACTTGCTTCTGCCAAGTGCATTCCTCCTCTGAAGATTCATTTTATCAAAGCTCTTTTCTACTGCTGAATTCCTATCTGTATGTGCGGACTCCAAATCTGGAATTCAGAACAAAACACAACAAATCAGAATATGTTTTTCTCCTTTTTTAAAAATATTTTTATTTTTATTTTTTTTGGCAGAACTGGGGATTGAACTCAGATCCTTGTGTTTGCCAGTCAAGCGCTTATCCTACTGAGCCATCTCCCTGGCCCTGTTTTTCTCCTTTAAGAAAAACTTACCACACAAACTTCTCCAGTAGAACTGAGGTGAGTCATCAAGGGCTCTCCAAGCATGGCTCCTTCTGCTGGACCCCTAAAGGCCAGGGGCCACCTGGGGCATGGCTGCTGGACATGGATGGGGAAGGGGTGCCCTACTATTTGTTTTGCCATAATTAAGTAAAAAAAATTTGGGCCAAATCTCAAAGATAAGATGAAAACAAGTATGCTCTGGAGATGATATGGGGCAAACCTGGGAGACCCAAGGGAATAGAATATGGATCTACGGTGACATCTGACACTGTGCAGTTGATGTCTGGGTGTAAAACTACTACATATCTTAGCAGCTGGGTCTCTGTTATAAAATCTGGGAGCTGTGGGCCAGGGAGATGGCCCAGTAGAATAAGTGCTTCCCTGACAAGCACAAGGGTCTGAGTTCAATCCCTGGTTCCGCCAAAAAAAAAAAAAAAAAAAAAAAAGCTGGGAGCTGAACGAAAAGAACGAGCCTGGGCCCTGGTTCCCCTGGGGGAGCAGTGTCAGCTTCTCATAATGCACACTCACACACACACACACGCGCGCGCGCGCGCACGCAAGCGTGTGCACATGCACACAAAAACAGGGAGGCCAGGCCCCTGCGCACCAAGAGTGGAAGCCCGCAGACACGGTCCCCGGGGGTGCTGGGGGCCCTGAAAGGGCCGGCAAACCTGGGGCCTCATGGCTTCACACGCTGTGATAAAAAAACAGAGCTGACACTGCTGAGTGTCACCAAATAGGCACAGATCAGGCCTGCTGTCCCCTAGCCATGCACCATTATTTTACTAGGAGAAAAATGAGTTTCCTGGATAAGTCACAGAGCACTGCTATTCCACACCCAGCACAAAGCTCAGGGACTCTTTCAACTCCACTTCCAGTCCTGCTGGGAACAGAATCCGCTCCTCTTGCTTTGGGTAATTTTGGCTCTTCAGTCCACTTTACATTCTTTAAGCAATCAGGCCCTGCAGTGAGCTGTTTTCTATAAATGTGGGTCCCCACCGTCCCAGAGCCCCACTGTCAACGACAACTTGAGTAGAAACATCACACTGTGGGCTGAAGCCGGTCCTGAGACACAGCCCGGGCTCTGAGCTGGAGGCTAAGGAGAGAAGTGCTTACATAGCGCCGGGCGGGCGGGCGGGCGCAGAGCAAATGGTTCTGGAGCGCCACGGTCTGCGCTGCCCGCTGGCATCCCCGCCCCCCAGGCGCTGCCAGGACACAGGGGCAGGAATCTGGCGGGACTCAGCAAGGGGCCCCGAAGGCTGCCGGCCGGGAGCGCGCAGCGGCTCGGGCAGCGGACGCGACTCACCCAGTGAGACCAGGTTGCTGTAGTTGTCCAGCATCACATCCCAGTACAGGTCCCTCTGAGCGGTGTCCAGGCACGCCCACTCCTCCTGGGAGAATTCTACGGCCACATCTGCGAACGTCACCGCACCCTGGGGACACAAACCGCCGTTGGTGAGGCGGTGGTAGGGGCGGGGAGGAGCCGCAGCGGGAGGAGGCGGCGGCCGTGTCCCCAGCCTGCGCGCACAGTGACACCGCAGCAGCCGGCCAGACGCGCGCTTCCTGGGCTGCCGGCAGGGATCCGCCTGCTGGGTGCCCTCTGCAGACCTGCGGGTGGGAACGTGGCCCTCCTTTGCGCTGGTAGCAAGCGCAGAGCTACCTGGGTTCCTACAGCACCCCCACCCCCAAGGAGGGAAGGAAGAGCGCGCTCTGCGCAGCACGATGTAGTCTAGAGGACGTGGTGGCTGCATGTTTCCAAGCTTCAAGTTCATGATCATGCCACATTATATTTTAAGCAGGCTTCTTTTATTTTTTAATTTTTGAGGGGGGGGGGTCTGTTGCTCGGGCTAGCCTTGAACTCGCCTCAGCTCGCCTCAGCTCCTGCAGTGGCTGAGAGTCTGGTGCCTCGGTTCATGAATGCTTCTGTTCGTGAACAATTCAGTTTGCAGACAGAAGCAAAATGTTGCTTCTGTTTGTGAACTCTGCGCCACAGGACACACAGCACTGCGCCATCTTACCCAGGTTCCTAGGTGAGTTAAGTTTGTGAACTGAAGCACCCCTGACCACACCTGGTTTACCTTTCCTTTGGAGAGCATTAAAAAAATGACAGCCCACACACAGCTGAGTCCGGCTCCAGTCTACAACAGCCCCACACGGAACCTGAGCAGAAAGCTGAGCTGTCCCTAATTTGGGGACGCTGCCAGGATCACCTCCGAGCCCCACTCTGCACCTCACTCCTGCGGTCTGCATTCCTGCCTGCCCTCCCTCCCTCCCTCCCAATACAGACAGGACATCAGGTCAAATGAGTCACATGGAGGTCTGGCAGGTTGCTTTAATGACAAATCTTTAATTTTTAAAATATGGTTTTTGGTTTTCTTAAGACAGGGTCTTGTTATGTAGCAGAGGCTGACTTTGCACTCACGGGCATCTCCTGCCTCAGCCTGCTGCACGCTGGGAGTGCGGGTGGGCACCTCGCCCAGCTTGACTCCGCCCACCTCTAACAGCCACACACAGTGAGACTGAGAGGCCAGCACCTTCTTCCCTACCACCCTCCTCTACCCAGAAAGGGCAGCGGCAGAGCCTGCCTGCTCGGGTCACAGAGGACCAAGGCTCACCGACCTGAGGTCGTGCTTCCCCCAGGGGCTCTGCTCATTCACAGCTCTTCACTGTTCTGCACAAAAACCCTGAGCACGGAGGAGCTGGAAGGACCTGTTCAGTGACCAAGTCTGGAAGGCAGACGTGGGGCTTTCTGGGGTTTCATGCACGGCAGTGGGGAGAGCCAGCTCCAGCAGGTGGCTTCACAGGCTTCACAACAGCATCCGTGAGCCCATCCCATTTCAAGGAGGAAAGAGACGCACACTTACGTGGGCCACACTCTCAGCTCGCAAGCCTGGGTCCATCATCTTCGCGTTTCCTCTACGGGAGAAAAAAACCCAACAGGTCAGAGCTGGGGGCGGGCAAAGACATCGCAGCAGCTGCACTGGGTCTGCAGGGACACAAGGTGACCTCAGTCCTCCTCTTTGCTTCCCAACACACACACACACACACACACACACACACTCCACATTCAAGTCAAGACGCATCTGGGAAGGACTGAGAGGATTCTGGAGAGTCACATGCTCCCATGTGCCAGGAACCAGCTGGACACAGCCAAGCAGAGGTGCCCTCCTCTGTTCATCCACTGATGTCTTGGGTTGAACACATACCCCAACACTAGAGGGAAGACAGGTGAGCCCCTGGGGGTGAGTGGGAGGAGGCTGGGGGGTAAGGAATGTGGCCTTGGGCCGGGAAGATAGCTCAGTAGAGTAAGTGCTTGCCTGGCAAGCGCAAGGACCTCAGTTCAATCCCCAGTTCTGAAAATGAAATAAAATAAAATCTGGCCTTGGCCAAAAGGGCCCGGCTTTGCAGCTCTGCCTGGTGATCCTGAGGTAATTACGTCCTCCCTGCCGGGAAGACCTTCGTTTTAGGTGTGGATTGACTATACTGGAGAACCAACCCAGTGACGCCAGGGAGGCCTTCAGGTCACACAGGGTCGGATGAGTTGGAGATGAGGTTAACCATACGGACCATCAATGCCGCCGGGGGGCCAACACCTGCGTGACCACACTGTGCGTGGGCTCATGGGCCACCCTGGGATAAGCAGACTGTAAGTGACCTTGCCTGAAGCACGTGGGACACTTCGTCAGCTGGGGAGATGAGAGATCAGGAAGGGGGCTGGCGAGATGGCTCAGTGGTCTAAAGCACCTACTTGGAACAAGCTAAGCTAAGCAAAAGCATAGGGACCTCGGTTCAATCCCCCAGCACCACATGCCAGCCAGCCCCGCCCCATGGTGGGCTGAGCTGGCCACACACACACACACACACACACACAATAAATAAATAAATGTTAAAAAATTAAAAAAAAAAAAAAAGAGAGCGATCAGGAAGGCTGCACGTCCATTATCCATCTCATTCACTGATTTATTTACTGCAGCTCCAGGAGTGAGCCCTCCTGTGTTCACCAGGCTCCCGCTCTTCACACTGAGCTGTCCCCAGCCCTTGTGCTTGGTTTACAAAGTGAGGTTTGCACACTGCTTTGGTCCTTTATGGGGTTGGCTATCAGGGCCCAGCACTCTTGAAACAAAGCTGCATCCATGCTTGTGGGGGAGGGGCCTCGAGGACACCAAGGACTGGATTCTTTTTGTTTTCATCAGGCCTGCATGACCAATTTTTTTTTTTTTTTTTTTTCAGAACCGGGGATTGAACTCAGGCCTTCTGCTTGCCAGGGTAGCACTTATTCCACTGAGCCATCTCCCCAGCTCCAACATGACACAATTCTAAGACATGAGAATGCAAAATGGTGTGGTGGCGCATGCTGGGGGGCCCACCATTTGGGGAGGCTCAGGGAGGAATGTGAAAGCTTGACCTCAGCCTAGATGCACCTCATCTCAGAACAAGGCCTAGCAAAGGGCTGGGGATGTAGCTTAGTGCCGAGACCCTGGATTCAATCTCTACCATTGAAAAAAATAACAATATGTCAATAAATGAATAAAAAATCAAAAGGGTGTCTGGAACGGTGGCTCAGTGCTGCATATCCAGAAAATGGCCCACTCCAGGGGTGAGCGTGGGCACATTACTAAGGCTCGGAATGGGGTGGCCTGGGCAGGCGAGAGCTCTGTCTCTCACAGATGTCCACAGGAAGACTGCTGCACGTGGGACTATGTCACCTTAATGGCCAACGGCACTCGGACTTGCAGAGACTTAAATTTGCCAGGCTCTGTACTTTCAGAGAGGGAGGATAATTCTGAATGACACGAGGGGCCCAAAGGATCCACTATAGCCCTAAGCTATAGGGCGGTGGAGGTGGACGGTTCAGAAGAGAAGGCTGCCTGGCAGAAACAGGGCCCCACGAGGCAGGAGAAGCTGGCACTTGTCTGTGCTGCTCTGATGCCAGGAGATCAGAGGCCAGGCAGTGCCAGGTGCATCATGCCAACGATGGGAAAGGCACGAGGCCTCGGTTTGACTGGCACATCCGCTGGTTGGGGAGGAGCACACCTAATCCCAGCCCTGTGGGAGGCTGATACCAGACGACTCCACAGCTGAGGCCAGCCTCGGCAACTCAGTGAGACCCTGTCTCAAAAATAAAGAGCTAGGGATGCAGCTCAGTGGAAAAGTTCTCAGTTGAATTTCTAGAACCAAAACAAGCAAATAAAAACCAAAACCCAAACCCAAACAAGTGAAAACAAATATGGTGGAGTCAAAAGGCAAGAGCTCTGGGTAGGGGTGTTTTGGGCCACACTGGCTTGGGGTGACTGTGTGTGCCTTTCAGGCCCACCCACTCAGAAGTTACTCTTGACGATATCACAGCTGTCCTTAGTATTTACTGAGGACTCACAGTCCAAGAGGTTGCTATTTCAGAAAGCCCAGAGCTCTGGACATGGCTCAGCAGCCTAAGTGCCTGCCTGGCAAGCGCAAGGTCCTGAGTTTGATCCCTAGTGAGGTTGGAAGAGAATCAATAGGTTGATTCTATTATGGTCTGTAAGACGAAATCATCTAACAACAACAACAACAACAACAACAACAGTGACAACAACAAAAACAGAAGAGAAAAACGAAAATGTAAGCTCACCCGAGCCTCAACTTTAAGATGGATAACGGGTCTTCCTCCTGAGGATATTTTCTCTTCAGCAGGCCTGGGAGAAAGAGGAGGGGACAATGAGACACCAGTGCGTTTGGAAACGTTGGGCATGGGGCACCGACAAAGCCAAGTGGGAGTCAGAAGGCCTTGGGAATCTCAGCTTTTGACAGATCTCTAAACCAGGCTTGAAAACTGGGGCTCCTGCTCACTTCCTACCTCTGGGCAGAGGGCCTTTCCCCTCCAAAAGGAATTCCTTTGGGGGGCCTCCTCCTGTCATTTCCACAGCCTGCGGCAGGCAGGACACTTCTGGCTCTGACACATGTCACAACCGTGTCACTGTCCCCTCCAGGGCACGACTCTGGCTCTGACATCCCTGGGGACCACCGCAGGTCTCATGCAGGCCTTTGTTTGGAAGGTGGACAGAGGAAAAGTCAGGCACATGAACTAAGGGCTCACTGTCGCACACCTGTGCCCCTTTAAAAAGCTATGCAGCCAATGATCCGGTCACCAAGCACAAATGCACGTCAGCGACAGCCGCACAATGCCACACACACCGTGGGCCACACCCATCAGCGTCGCCGAGGATGCCGCTCCTCCCCGCCTCCGTCAGCCCATCTATCAGTGCCACCCGGGGTCACAACACCTGATGGTGCCTGTACACCTGTGGCACTTATGGCGTCACACCTGTGCATCAGCACGCACGGGGAGCCACGCACCAGCGGTGCCCTGCTTGACCTGTGGCGCCCCATGGCTCACACTGTATCTAGGGTGCAGCTCTGCTAGTGGCTGGGTGTGTCACCCAGCAAGTCAGGGCTACCTTCCCTACACCTTTCTGTGCACCAGTGTCACACGCGCACTTAGGTCAGCCCTGCCCGGAACAAGGCGCAGGGCACATGCGCGTACCTCTGTCCAGAAACGTACGCCTACGCGCAGGACTCAGCACGCAAATGCAGGCACGCAGAGACGCACGGACGTACGCACACGGGTACTCTCTTCAACGTCACCCTTGGTGAGGAGAGACAGAAAACTAGCCCAGGAGGAAAGAGAAAGGCTGGCCACATAACTCAGCGGATGAAAGAGCCTGTTTAGGCAGATGCAGGGGTTCAATCCCTGGCGGGGCCATGCTGGCCCGGCCGGCCCAGGGGCGCGCTGAGACAGCGATTGAGACTGGGCGTGGTGGCACACGCCTGTAATCCGAGCTCCTCCCGAGGCTGGACACAGGCGGATCACTACGAATCCTGCCTACACAGCGAGACTCTATAGACCCTTACAAAAAAAAAAAAAAAAAAAAGGTGTGTGTGAAGGGGCTGGGCTTGCAGTTCAGTGTGAAGGTACTGAGGGCTGAAAAACAAAATTTTGTGGGGTGGGCAAGGTTGCCTCAGTGCAATGTAGAACACAAGCTGTGACTTTTAAGATGCCGTTCTGAGCCCCGAAGGTTCCTAATCCTACAGTGTTTCCTCCTAGTAAAATTACCATTAACATACTACAATGACTGTGGAGACGGACACAACTGCCTCAGCTTTATGGATACTCTACTCAGCCTACAATGTGTCACAATTATTTAATACAAATTAGCTATGATTGACAGTATCGCACATCCCCTAACCTGTGTTTATAAACAGAACTCAAGTCTGCTGCTTCCTTTTTCTTATAGAAAGTGTGCTTCTTAAAACAGCTGCCAATGCAATGAATGTTACCTAAAAACAGCTTTCAGAGCCTGATGTTACGAATGAAGAATCTTTTAAATGATCACTAGGAAAATGGATTCTGTGACGCACACACAATGTTCCTGCGACGCACACAGAATGTTCCTGCGCCACAGGCAAGCGGGGGAGGAGGGCAGAAGTGTGATTCTGCATCAGAACTCGAGCTCCGAGGCTGATCCCAGAAGATGCCACGCGGAAGCACAGGAGAAGCTGAGTCACGCGCCGAGAACACCTCCCATGGCTTCTCCTACACGAGAAACCTGGAGTAGAAATCCGTTAAAGAGCAAAATAAAAGGCGGATAATACAAACAGATGTTCTGCAAATGGCCAGCAGACCAAGTAGGGAGGGGCAGGACGAGAGTCAAAAATAATTAAGACGAATTACGTACACGTCCCAAATGACCACAGAATCATTAAGTACTGCAAACACGTACTAATTAAAAATATGTGAACATCTGCAATTACTGCCATCTGTTATGCTTTGTGTCTGGATGTCCCCCCAAAGCCTCATGCAGTCATGGGGGTGGGATTTTCAGACACGGCTTGTTCAACCTGGCCCTCTTGCTTTCATGCGCTCTCCTCAGGAAACAGTTACAGCGTTTCCGGCCCGGGGTCCGCACTTTGTCAACATCCTCATCCTGTGGCAGGGGAGGGTAGGGAGATGGCGTGCGGGCCACGCCCGCCGAGCACGGACCGCTGGCACACGGTACGGGGAGAAAAGGGGCTTCCTGCGCCTTTCGCTCTTGTTGCTCTTGCTGTGTTGCTCAAATTCGTTGCCCCTCGCCACGTCACCCTGCCTTGGGGCCAGCTGATTACTGACTGAAACCTCCAAAACCTTTCCTGCCTTAATTCTGGGTGTTTTGTTTTGCCTCGGCAATGAGGTGAAAGTAACCAGGAGACCATGTTACTCATTTTTCATCTGCTGGGGTTGTGCGCACAGTGCATGCTTTTAAGGTACCAGGCATTAGCGATTATCGTCATATTCTGTGAAATAAACATCAAAATTACAGGAAGTCTAACTCTGAAAGGCTATACTTTTTATTTCATCGTGGGATTAGTTTCAAGTAAGGCAGCTCTAATCCTCTCAGTGTAACATGTGAGTGGCTTTTCAAAAGAAGACAAAGCGCCCCCCACCCTGCCCACTCAAGCAGCCATAATGCGAATCCCCAGCTGAGCCGGCCCCTTTCATGTCTGTGGCTTGGCCAGTCTACCTCATTTGCATGATCGCCGAGGGCCCAGCACTCCAGAACCAACAATACACTCCCTTTGACAGGAAGTGGACAGTTAGGTGCACACACACAAAGACATTAACGGTAGTTATCTGTGCATGGTATAATTAGGGGTAATTTTGACATTCTTGTGGGGAACCAATTCTTTTTCCTGCAGCTTGCCTGCATTAAGCCCATTATAAATAACAACAATGCAATTGCAATAGAAAGTGCTTGGCAATGAGAAATGACGAATGGGGGAGGCAGCATGTGGTCGTTGTGAAGGAGACTGGATGGAAGCCCCTCAGCAGGAGGAGGCCCACCTTCATCCTGGACAGTAGGGACACACTATATCCCATGGCCTGGGGAATCGGTCTATAGACACCAGAGAGTTGAGAATTCCTCCAGAATTACCCTGTGGGCTTGTGTCTTCAAGACAGAGGGGAAGGCTGAGTTGCTAGAAGCAGGGCCAGAGGGAGAAGGATCTGGCTGTCTCTGAGATAGATGAGGGAAGGATGGACAGAGGGAGAGAGGGAACCCGGGCAGCTCCTGAGCTTCTCAGAATGGGATGGCTTCCAGTGTCTTGGTTTGGCCCAGTAAGATCAACTTCTTACTGCTGAATTCTGTGGGCTACTTTATACAATGTTGTTTCATTTTTGATTTCATCCCAAAATGAATTTCCTTCTTACCAAACAGACTATAAAACACCAGCATTCACCTCCACGAGCTGTGTGTGTGTGTGTGTACCATGAGATTCTTGGGAAAAGGGGAGCTCACTGAGGAGAAAGGGCTTGGCTGGGTGAAGGCACAGCGAGCATCCGACCTGCAAGGCCCTTCCACAGCCCTGGGTTAGGGATTACAAATGAGCTGCTGAGAGGAATTTTAGTGCCAAGGAAGGTATGCGGCCCCAAATTCTGCAGCCACAGAAAGGCTACACGTCTGAACTCAGCATTAACATGGGTTCAATTTCATGCCCTACAGCCCTGGTCCAGCTGCCCTCAGCACATGTTAAAATCAACCTTAGAATCAATGATTAAAAAATAATAATAAAGAAAAAGAATCGATGCCGAGGCTGGTATGTTTCAGGAATTCCTGGGAATGACCCTGCATCCTGGGCCTCATCGTCTCCCTCTTCCCTCTGCAGGGTGGCCTCGGAGGCTCTCAGAGCAGTTTGCACGGTTGACAGCGGATACCACCAGACACCTGCCCTTTCCCTGGCTGTTTACAGGAGGACCACATCGTGCATGATCCCACGTGTGGGAAGCAGCCACGTGTGGCCAGATGAAGACAGACAGAGACGTCTGTGCTCTCCATCACCTGGGGAAAGTGTGCACAGCCCCATCAGAGTGGAGACCCACGGCCGCCAACCTTGGGCGATTGTGCACAAGCGAGGGCGTGTTTCATGCGCTGAAGTTGGCCAATGTTTTTGTTTTTTCTTGTGGAACCGGGGATTGAACTCAGACCCTTGCGCTTGCCTGGGAAGCGCTTATTCTACCGAGCCATCTCCCCAGCCCCACGCTGGCCAAAGTCATGCAGGCGTCCAGGAACACACAGGTACGTCCGGGCACGGGCGCCGTGTTCCGTGCGCATGTGCGGCCGTCCAGTCAAGACGCCCCGCCTAGAGATGGCGCTGCGCTGCCCCCCGTATCCCGACTGTCTGCCTGTCGCAAGGGCCTCCCTGCGGACCGAGTCCACGGGAACCCTCAGCCCCAGCATGCAGCGCGCCGTCTGTCGGTCAGTCCGCGCAGGAGACACGTAGCAGCGTAGGGTGCACCTCAGGGATCCACAAATCCGGACTATGTGAATAAGCACGTGCAGTGGGAATAGGCAGCCAGGCAGCGGCCGAAAAAGCCGGGAGGGACACGGGGAGGGATGCCTGCGGCCGCGCGAGCGCGCATCCGTGCTGCTGCGCGGCTCCCAGCGCCAGGCCCGGCCGGCCCAGGTTCGGATCGCGTGGACTCTCCCACGCCGCGGGATGCCCAAGCTCCAGCCGGCACGCGCGAAGGAGCTAGCTGTCCGCCGGCTCCTCGCCGGGCCTGGGGGCCCTGCACCTGGGGATCCTGGGGGCTTAGCTCAGCTCGGTCCTCAGATATGTAAATGTGTCCATTTCTGCTAAATTTATTCAAAGGCAGTTGGACTCTCAAAAGTTAACTTTGTTTTCCTTAAGGTCTACTCAGATTTGTAAAAAGAGGTCTGAAAAACTGGGCCTGGTGGTGCTAACCAATAATCCATTTTCTTTTTTTGCGGAACTGGGGATTGAACTCAGGACCTTGCACTTACCAGGCAAGTACTTATTCTACTGAATTATGTCCCCAGTCCCTCCCCCCGCTTTTTTTTTTTTTTTTTTTTTAATCCTGCTTTTGGATTCCCCCCGCCCCCCAACCAGGGTTTGAACTCAGACCCTTGCACTTGCCAGGGAAGCGCCTATTCTACTGAGCCATCTCCCTGGCCTTTTTTAGACCCCCCCCCCCCCAAATCCTACTTTTGGGAGGCTGAGGGAAGGAAGACTGGTAGGCCTGGGCCAGCCTGGGCTATACAGTGACAACAGAACAAAATCCAGCAGACACCACACTTACATTTGTTTACTCTGACAGCTTTTGCGGCTGTGCTGCTGTCATACTGGCTAAGGGCAGGAGAGAACGCCCAGAGGTGCCCGGCGTACACAGCGAGGTCCATCGGTCCGGAGGCCCTGTCAGGTGCGGCTGGAGAACCCGTAGCAGCACCATCCCTCGCAGCCCGCCCGGGCCGGTGGAGCTGTCGCCAGGCCTGGCTCAGGGAGGGCTGCAGGTGCTCCGGCTCATTTCCCCTCCGTGCTGGTTACAGCGGCGCCTTCACCCCCAGAGGCTCGCACTGACAGAATCACCACTGCTGTGCACACTTTCACCTGCGTGTGTGTGTGTTTGATGCTGAGAATCAAACCCAGGGCCTTAAGCATGTTCGAAAACTACACTTTTTTTTTCTTTTTTTGTAGTAGCAGAGATTGAATCTGGGGATTTATACTGAATTACTCCCCTAACTCAATCCATTTTTTTCTTCTTTTTTGTATTTTAGGGGAGGTCTACAGGGTATTCAGGGTCGCACTACTAGATTGGACTTGTAGTGATCTGCCTGTTTGCAGCCTCCCAAGAGCTGGGATTACAGGTGCGCGCCACCACACCCAGTCTCGAGTCATGTTTTTGAGACAATCTCACTACTAGTGCTGGGTAGACTTGAACTCATGGCAGCGTTTGTGCCTCAGCCTTCCCAAGGATGGGACTGTGGGAATTTTCTAGTCATGTTGTTGATTCATATCACCTGAGAAAGACTTGATGATGGACAACTAAAGTGAGTTTAAAAACCGAGAGCTGGGGTCAGGGGAGATAGCTCAGTAGAATAAGTGCCTGTCTGGCAAGCGCAGGGTCCCGAGTTCAATCCCCAGTACTGCAAACAAACACACACAAAAAAACGCCAGATAACTGAGTGACGAATGGCTGTAATCCCACCCTGTTTCAAAAAACGAACCACTGGGGATATAGCTTGGTATCAAGGCTGTGGGCTAAACTGGGCATGGTGGTGCATGCCTATAATCCTCCCAGCACTCAAGAGGTTGAGGCAGGAGGACTGGTGTGAGTTCGAGGCCAGCCTAGGCTACAAAATGAGTTCAATGCCATCTTAAAAGGCCCAGTGAAACCTAGTCTCAAAAAAGCAAAAAGACCCTGGGCTCAGTCCTTATCCCTGCCCCCACCCCCGCAAGGCAAATGGCAAGTCTATAAAACCAGCAGGATAAAATTCAGCTGTGCAGGCAGACACAGGGTCAGTGAGGGGTGGCACCTCTTCAGGCACGGGAGGTGGGAACCAGTAATTCCCAAAAGGAGTGTGGCCTGGACGTCCCAGCTTGGTGGTGGGCTGTTTCAGACTTCGGGAAGTTTCAAAGCCCGGTTTGTGTTGCTTTGCACCACCCAGGCTGGATGAACTTGTTCGCTACTGTGGCATGCAGTAGATGACAGGCTGCACGAGAGCGAGATGGGCTGGAGCGCTGTCACTGCATCTCTGCAGTGCCGGCAGGCGCTGACACCATGGGACACCCGTGTCCTGCACTTGGGTCAGGAGTACAGGCGGGGCAGAGAGAGGCGGGGACGGAATGCGGTCCTTGCACGAGTCCACAGGCCTCTCTGCCTTACCTGAATAATCCGTTTAAATATCATGAGACTGACCCCTGACTCGAACAGAAAATATAAAAAGCACTCTGCGGCTGGATGTAGTGGCGCAGGCTGGGAGAAAGAGGCAGGAGGATCGCCCAGTGCTCAAGGCCAGCCTTAATTACCTAGTGAGAACCTGTCTCAAAAAAACAAAACAGAATAAAACAAAATGAAAAGGGCTAAGATACAGCTCAGCTTGAAGGTCTTGGGTTCAATTCCCAGTAGTGCAAAGGAAAAAAAAAAGGTACTGGAAGGGCCAGCCAAATAGCTCAGTGGATTAAATTCCTGGGATTTGATTCCTGGGCCTGCCCTGCCCCCGGGGTGCACTGAGACCAGGGATTGTGACTGGGTGTGATGGTGCGAGCCTATAATCCCAGCTTTTGGGAGGCTGTAAACGAGTGGATCACTACGAGTCCGATCTAGTAATAAGACTCTGAACACCCTGTAGACCCTTCCCTAAAAAAAAAAAAAAAAAGATTGGATACAGTCCTTCTAAAGTATTATCTTTTTTTTCAGGGTCTCACTATGTTGTTCTGGTTGGCCTTGAACTCGCTTCTGAAGTATCTTGTGATGGGACTGTCGCTGGGGCTGATGGTTAGAAGCGTTTGTGCGACTTCAGCTAGGCAGTTTCCCTTCCTGTGGCTAAGCAGACAGACCTGTGTGCAGCTGCGTGGTACCCAGGGAGAGTCACTAAGCTGGGGTGCCTTACTTACAGGCAGCTGAAAATCCCACGTAAGGGTGTCCTACACCATACATCACCTTTGAAAATCGCCAGCATCTTCAGTATCCAAGAAGGTGTCACAGCCAGGCAGAGTCTGAGACTTCTGACAGCAGAGCGTCACGCAGCACCCTGGAAAAGATCCCAGAGACGCAGGACACTCGTTAGGAGCCAGGGAAACGGGGGAGGGTGCATGCGAGGCTCGGGACAGTTTTTCGCACCACGTGTCAGATAAACACCAGGCCCAGCCAGCCATCAGGTGGGGCCTGCGGGCACCAGGGTGCCCTGTGAGCCCTGGTCCAAGCCCGGTCACCCAGCCCTCTCGGACCTCAGAAGTCAGGGTTCCAGCCCACGGGTCCGGCAGTGTGCATCCTGAGGTCCGTAGGCCCCCACGGATGTGAGACTTTCGGCTAATGTGACCCTGGGGAGGGGGTGGCGAGGACTGCTCCCCGATGCCTCCCCGCGCACCCGAGATGCATGTGGTGCTGCGGAGGATCACGACATGCACCCTCGGATGGAGACCCGGAAGCACAGCTGACTAAATGAACGCAGGAGGCGAATGCCTGAAACATAACAAAAACATAGAAGCGGTTAACAAAACCCAGGGAAAACGACTGGCACAGCCTCACTGCCAACCTCGTCTTGTACAAGAAAGTTGCAAGGTGGTCTCAGGCAAGCTGCTTCTAATGTGCCAGTTCTCGGAAGGAAAGTAAAAGGAAGTACTATTTATAATTAGCCCATTAGAGGAGAAAAAAAAGAATGAAAAAGAGTAAAGAAAGCGTTAGGAACCTACAAAGTTCCTACTCTATTAAAGTCTCAAAATTTCAAATTATTAAAATTCAGTCAGGAAGGAGGCCGCTAGGTGTGGTGGTGCACTGTAATCCCAGCCCTCCGAAGGCTGAGGCAGGAGGATCACCATCAGTTTGAGGCCAGCTTAGGCTACACAGTAAATTCAAGGTCAGCCTGAATTGCGGAGTGAGACCCTGTCTCAAACAAAACAAAATAAAACAATAAGCAAAAGATCAATCCACAGAATATTCTTAGATACGTGATAATTCAGTTGTGGAAAAACAAAGACGCCAGAAGTAAGGAACAGATAGGAATTTCATAAGGGAAACCCATAGAGCCAGCTGCAGGCCTCCCTCCAGAAACGCTGGCAGCCAGTAGGGCGGGGGCGATGCCAAGACTCCAGCTGGGAAGAGCGCAGCCAGCAAACCTTGCTTCAGAAACGCGGGTGGGACGAAGCCTTTCCAGGCAAACAGCAGCTGAGGTGGTCCACCACCATGCGCCCTGCTTTGTGAGGACCGCCAACATGAGTTTGCAAGTTGAAATGAAAGAACATCACGGAACAGTGAGAATGCTACAAAACTCATTCACAGGCCACGCATAGTGGGGCACGGCTGCAGTCCCAGCATGCTGGGGCCGGTGCACCAGGGGCTCGAGGCCAGCCTGGGCGGCGACACAGAGACTGCTCGGCCAGCGCAGCCCCGCCCCAGCACACCAGACCAAAAATTCACTAACAGAGGGGAGTACATAATATGCTAATCCTGTAATGGTGGTAGTAAAACCCTTTTAACTTTAGTGTGAAAGTGAAAAGATGAAAATACTAAGTTTGATACCTGGAATTTCTTTTTTAAATAATTTGTTAAAAGAGTGTACAATTTAAAGGCTGCAAAATCCAACTTAATAGAAATGTGTATGTGTGGGGGAAGTGAGTGGGTAGAGATTTATTTATTTATTTATTT